TCTCAGAATAATAATTTTTACCCCTTCAGCTTGACCCTCAACAATCTAGTCAGGTCCAATAACTTCCTTATAGATCACTAAATGTCCTTGTTGGCATCATGCATTTCAAACATAATAGGTACTAGGGTGAAGCTTGCTTTTTTCCCTGCTTTGCTTCAGCTTTTTTATTGAGATATAACCTGCCTACAATGAAGTATACAAATCTTTTGTTAAGAATTTGTTGAGTGGGGATCCCTGGGTGGCTCAGGGGTTTGGCGCCTGCCTTTGGCCCAGGGCGTGATCCTGGAGTCCTGGGATCGAGTCCCGCATTAGGCTCCCTGCATGGAGCCTGCTTCTCCTTCCACCTGTGTCTCTGCCTCTCTCTCATGAATAAATAAAATCCTTAAAAAAAACCCAAAAAAACACAACAACCTTGTTGAGCACTTCTGTTATTTTAGTCTGTACCTAGTTGCCTCCCAGCTTAAAACATCGACTCCTGAGGGCAGGCACAAGGCTTCACATCTTTAAGAATCTCCCTTAGTGCTTATATCACAGACTGCTCACTCGGGATCTGGAGGGAGTCAGCCAGCCTTCCTTCCCATCCACTTTCTAGGCGTTTATATTCTCTACTGGACAGCATCACCAGTGTGCTCCCGTGTTGGCTCCCATAGCAGGCACCCACCAGATGCTTGAAGCACATGTGCCAAATGAACATTAAATGATTCTCCTCGTATAACATGACAAGTTTACTAGGCAGAGCACGGGGAACATTCTGTCAGACAACTTGGCTTCTGGTCCTAGCATTGTTACTTTCACTATGATATGGGACAAGTCCTTTGTTTAATTTCAAACATTTACCAAGTCCTGCTATGTACTGAATACTACAGTAGTTGTTCACAGGGCTACATAGACTCATTAGTCTCCACTCTCTAAGTCTAGTGAACAGAGAGAGACTCACGTAGGCAGCCAGTGAAGTCAAAATCAAGTGAATGGTTAAGGAGAGGTACAAGCAATATTACTCACAATCGAACAAAGAGTAATTCCCTCTATGGGAACTTGTACAGATTAACTACGGATTTTGATTAATCTTACATAAGATTTGTGTCCTTGTGTGTAAATCACACCTTCAGCAATGAATAGGATTTTTATAGGTAAAGTCATTTTAGACAATGTAACTTGAGTTAGCAACAAGACTCTGAGTCAGAAGATCTGAGTTTAAGTTCTAGCTCTACCACTTATTAGCTGTGTGAGCCTGGACAAGTCATTTCACTTCCTCTAAGCCTCCAAATCCTTATCTGTAAACACAGAAATAACAGGAGTACTGGTCTATAGTTCATCAAAGTCAGTACCTCATCCCAAACCAATTAGAAGTCAGCATCTCATCCAAAACCAATCAGAACCACTAGAAGTGAATTCATTTAAAATGTTGTGACTGCATCTGTGGGTTGCTAACAGCCCTTAGCCCCTTCTTCCTTACTAACAGCAAGCCAACTTAATTTGGGTTGCCATTCCTCCCCCACATAGCTAAGTACTTCAGGGCTAGTCTAAGCCAATTAAGGTAATCTCATTAGGAATGGGCATGGATACTGGCCCAATTCTGAAGAAAAAAACATGAGAGGAAATCTGCAGGAAACCAAGGAAGGCTTTTCCCTTTGGATATGACCTCTGCCTTCGTGAGGAGCCTTTCTGCAGGCAAAGCTTGAGACCTGAGGATGGCAGAGTAGAAAGACACAAAAAGCCTGGGCCATGGAAACAATCACCCTCAAAGGCCCCCCTCTGAGCTTCTAAGAAAGAAGCCATATTGAGTCAGAGTTTTCAGTTAATTGCAGCCAAAAAACATCCCCCAGAAACAACATATCAGAGTAAATAGTGGAAAAAAAAGACTTGAGTGAAACTTAATCTTATAATAGACTAAAATTATGAAGTTAATATATTTAGGGGCACCTGGCTGGGTTAGCTGGAAGACCAAGCAACTCTTGAATTCAGAGTTGTGATTCAAGCCCCATGTTGGGTGTAGAGATCACTTAAATAAATAGTTTAAAAAATAAACAAAATGTAGGTTATAATGGCAGCTGTATACAAATTCTTAAAATAAAGCATGACTTACAGTATCAAATGTTTTTTTTTTTTCCCCAAACACTGATACTTTATTCATGTCTCTCTTTCACAATATGGAAAGGTTTTACGGAAATATTCCTAAGCTCTATCAGGCTTCCCAAGGACCTAATTTAATTCTTCACTATGCAAATCCTTTGTCAAATTCCTCACATAATCAGCCTTGTTGACTTCCCTTCTACCCTTGTTCATGGGTGTCAGGCTGAGGGAGATGGAATGTCTCCATCATTACTTTCAGAGACCCAAGTCCTACAGGTCTTGGGAGATGTGTAATTTCAGCCTGCAATTCATTTTATTTCCATTGTATTATCCTAATGTTTACCACATCCATTGATTAGCCAGAAACTGAGTGCCAAAGATGTTAATGAGACTGGTAGAGATAAGCAGGACATTATTAAATAGTGACTAATTTTTTTAGTGGCTGGTTTATTAGCATGATTTTTGTATGACATCTGCTTTCCTACTGGGCCTTGTGACTATGGATACATGGAAGATGAAAACTCAGATAACAAGGCCTAGTTCAAAGGGTGTGATGAGGATTAAATAAAACAATGCCTGTAAAATCAGAGTGTCTGGAATGCAGTAGCTATTAAACTGAATGGCAGTGGAGAGAGACAGAATACTTCATGGAGTGTTTGAAGAATATCAATCCCCCAAAAGAAAAACAAAACAACTGTATATAAAAATATGAGAGGGGAAACTGGGCATAAAAATCAAAGAAGTTGGGCAGCCTGGGTGGCCCAGCGGTTTAGCGCCGCCTTCAGCCCGGGGTGGAATCCTGGAGACCAGGGATCCAGTCCCATGTCGGGCTCCCTGCATGGAGCCTGCTTCTCCCTCTGCCTGTGTCTCTGCATCTCTCTCTCTCTCTCTGTGCCTGTCATGAATAAATAAATAAAATCTTTAAAAAAAAAAAGGTAAACTTCTCTTAAAAAAAAAAAATCAAAACGTTCCGAGTGGAATGGGACTTTTGATCATTTAGTGATAATTCCCACAGCACATTTGCCTCTCAAAGTACTGAGTCCCAGTACCACTTTCTAACATGTCCTCATTACAGTTTCGGAGTACTTACAGAGCACCACGTTTCTGCTCCTATACGCATTTCTGTTATTTACTCTTCACCTCATCCATCTCATTTTACAAAGGATGAAACGGTCACAGAAATAAAGTGTTCCCCAACTTCCAGTGTAAAGCCTGTCTTTCTGGCTCCAGAGCTCTCCCTTTTAACCACTGATGGGGTTCAGGACAGGCTGCCCCAGAATTTGCCACTTTGGCATGTGGATTATTCTGAGCTGAAAACCGTCAAGGTCCAACAGACTCAAGAAGAGCTTTTCTCCTCTCCCTTAACTGCCTAACAATAATTTAGACGGGGAACTTGTACCGTTCCTTGAGTTGGCCTCCTCAGAGTGTGTTCAAATCTAAACTGATTTGCAATTTTTAAAAAGTGGAGATATTGCCCCAAATTTGGATTTCTGACTTGTCCTGCTCCCATTTCTGGCAACACTGGATCTTCATTTCCACCTGGTGGCCATTAGCTGGAGTTGATTAGATAGGGCCTGCTCTCCATGTCACCACACACCTCTGTGGTCTCTGCTACAAGACCTGGAGTCCGTTGTTATTTCATCATTCTTTCTCTTAGGGTGAAATTAAAACTTTCTGACGCTGGGCTGTTTCACCCGAGCCCTGAAGACAATGGAGTTGTCAACCCTCTCAGCCTGTTTTCTCAGCTGCCAAAAGGGAAAAACAGCATTTATCTATAATTCTCAATACAGCCCTGCCTGGTAAAGCATGCACACAACAGCGAAGGATGCCTGGGGCATGGGAAGTGTTTGAAAAAAACGGTTGTTAATCTCAGAAGCTCGAGAACCACGTAGAAAACGAATGAATGAGCAAACTAACCAACAACTGACCGCGTTCATTGCTTTGTCAAGAGAACACTGATGGAGGAAATCATCCCAGAGGCATTTTGTATCCATTTGTGAAGACGGTACTTTGTACGAGGGATACTGCAGGTGCTCAAAGAATGGGGCAAATTGCAGTTATTTCAGGAAAGCTATAATGGAGTGAATGAATGAAGGGGAAGTGGGTGGTCAAAAAGCGATGCCTTGGGAATGTTTTGCTCTTTCCACCAGGCACAGGACAGGTGCTCGGTGCCTGTTGATTGCCCTGAGACCAGGGCCCAGCTGCGCTCCCTCCTCCTCCTCCTCCTCCTCCTCCTCCTCCTCCTCCTCCTCCTCCTCCTCCTCCTCCAAGGCCTCCCTCCAGGGGACAGTCCGGCCTCCTCCCCACCCTCCTGCCCCGCCCCAGACCTGCCCCGCCCTTACAGGATGTCCTCGCGGATGCAGGTGCCATGGTTGAGGTTGTGGTAGTGGACGGAGACGCAGTCCCTGAGAATGAAGGAGCACCTGTTCTCCTTTTTGTAGGCGCTGAAACACTCCTTGAAATCCTCGTAGGTCTTGAAGCAGCTGCCCAGCTCCATGGCCGCCCCCTCAGCCCACACCAGGGGCTGGCCCCCGGATCAACACTAGGGTTCAGAGGTCACACTGTGAGGGCCTACAGGCTGGCGCATGTCCAGGAGGCCTTAAGGGTCGGCCTCAGCTGAGTGGCCTGTTACGGAGCTCAGGAGGAGCCCTAAGGGCCGAGAGGGCTCAGGGGTCTGGGGGCGTCTTCGCTTTCTCACAGAGGGGAAATGACGCTCAGCTCTTATTATTCAGCCCTGGGTTCCTCCCCCTCACAGTTACATCCAATCACACACGGTATTCCCAGACTGGCACTCATTTTCTCCAATCGCTAGAGAAAGATAGCCCGCCTCTCGCGAAGACTGACAGGAGCGCCGACCAATCATAACCTGGACCCCTCTTTCTTGGGCGGGAGGGCCTTGAGGCGATTTCCTGTTACTGGAGCAAGCTGCCGGAAGAAGGTCGGTGTTCAGTGCGGGATTCCTCGTGTCCGCTCAGCGCTGTGTTCTGGCCGGCTGCACGTGAACCCCATGTCGTCCCGGCAGGCTCCCGAGGATGAGCAGCAGGGCGGCGGCGATCCCTCCGGGGACCTCCGCAGCGTCCTGGTTACCAGCGTGCTCAACCTCGAGCCGCTAGACGTGGATCTGTTCAGGTAGCCGGCTGCATCTGGCTCGCACCCCTCCCCCCGCCACCCCCCACATTGGGACGGAGACTTCCGACCTCGACTGCCGCCACCGCGTTGCCTCCTGCTCATAGCCCCCCGGACGGGGATGGGCTCTGTGCAGGATGCAGGCTCTGCCGCGACTGGGAGAGAACTGGTCCCTGACAGACCTGGCTGGCCTCGCTGCCCTAGCTTCCTCCAGTGCGCGCCAGGTCTGCTCAGCCCCGCCACTAGGAGGCCCTAGCCATCCGGGCAGATGAAGTGGTGGCTTGAGCTGGCCTTCTCAGCAGGCTCCCTGGAGGAGTCCTGTGCCTAGGGGCCAGCCCAGAAGGGGTGGTCACTTAAATGCACGCCGCTGATCCGGTTGAAAATTTAGAAGCAGCTTCTTGCATATTCACTGTTCTTTCCTTTTACGTACCTCGCACCTTCCACCACTTGGATCTAGTACCTCATTGCCCTGAGATCTGAGCCAGTTTCCTTCCAGATACCACTAAATGCTTTTCTGCAGCTAGGGATTTAATAGTTTTGGCCCTCGGGGTTCCTACTGGCTTTTCAGAGGCAATCTTAAATGTTAGTTTCACTTCCCCCTACTTAATGAATTACAAATGACTTCCTGGAGGGGCTACTTGGAATGCATTATATTTTTTTTAAATGCTAACCTAGGTTGGAGCTGAGCTGGCCTCAGTGGTAGGAAGCTGGAGTTCCAGGGCCTCATTTCCTCATCTGTGCGCTAGAGGGTTAGCCTTAAAGCCTGAGGACCCTTTGAGTTCTAGGACCCTTTGTAGTTCTTGGAAGAACTGGGCTAAAGTTGAGAGGCCCAAGTGGCAGGCCTGAACGCAGTCTGCCCTCAGCTCTTGGGGATCATCTTGGTCCCCTTATGGCCTTGAGAGGCTTCTGCTTTATCCTGGAATCGCCAGTGAAAGAAACACTGGACTTGGGGGCAGAAGACGCAGACACTGCTCAGGACTGGCAATGTTTAAGTTGACTGACCTCACTCAAGTCACTTTCCCTCTCTGATCCCTGTTCTCTTTGGGTAAAAGAAGAGAGCTGGTTCCTTATCTTTAACTGAAGCCCACAGAAGGGTTGGGCAGTCTTGAAGGCACTAAAGTTACATGTATGCTGTATGCAGAATAAGGGTATTTGCCTGGGAGAAGGGTCCATGGCTTTCACCAGATTTCAGAAGGATCCCAGACGTCAATAAGGTTGAGAGGTCTTGCCCTATAGGATGGTTGCAGGATTTGGCCCAAGTATTTCCTGCTTTCCCCTCTCTCCACAGAGGAAGACATTACTGGGTACCCACAACCCAGCGGCTGTTTGGGGGTCAGATTGTGGGCCAGGCCCTGGTGGCTGCAGCCAAGTCTGTGAGTGAAGACGTCCATGTGCACTCTCTGCACTGTTACTTTGTACGGACAGGTAAACTATACCCTCTTTATACCCAAGCCCAACCCTGAGGGCCCAGCAGCCACTTGTTCCTGCACTTGGGGGGCTGATGGGCTGGAAGAGGGAGGAAGGGCGGTGGGGGAGGGGAGAGTGAGACAGTTGATTCCCCTCAGGGGAACCTAGAGAGGAGCAAGGTCTGGGGCCCAGAGGAGTGTTGGACTTCACACTGATGAGATCACTGAGTGCTTGTTGAAGAAATGTTGGTGAGGAAATGTTGGCGGCAGAGCAAATGATCAAGAAAGAATTCTTGAGATGTGTTTGGTGTAAAAAGATGATTTTTTTTTTTAAATTTATTTATTTATGATAGTCACAGAGAGAGAGAGAGAGAGGCAGAGACACAGGCAGAGGGAAAAGCAAGCTCCATGCACCGGGAGCCCGATATGGGATTCGATCCCGGGTCTCCAGGATCGCGCCCTGGGCCAAAGGCAGGCGCCAAACCGCTGCGCCACTCAGGGATCCCAAAAGATGATTTTGTTTGTTTTTATTTTTATTATTTCTTAAAAAAGATTTTTATTCATTCATGAGACACAGACAGAGAGAGAGAGGCAGAGACATAGGCAGAGGGAGAAGCAGGCCCCTTGCGGGGAATCTGATGTGGGACTAGATCCCAGGACCCCGGGATCACAACCTGAGCCAAAGGCAGATGCTCAACCACTGAGCCACCCAGGTGTCCCTGTCTGTTTGTTTTTAAAGATTTATTTATTTTTAGAAAGAAAGAGTGGGGGGAGGAGAGCAGGAGGGAGAGGGAGAATCTCAAGCAGACTTCCTGCTGAGCATCCTGAGATCATGATCTGAGCCAAAATCAAGAGTCGGATGCTTAACTAATTGAGCCACCCAGGCTTCCCTAAGAAAGTGGTCTTACTAGAGCACGAGAACAGGACTTCTGGGCAGAAAAGGCTGTACTGGGATTGTGACAAATGACTATATAATTTCAAGTTGTGTGGGAATTAGGGACAGCACAAGTCTCCAAGGTATTTTAGAAGTCAGGTTTCCAGGACCTTGAGGGGGCTAGCTATTGTTAGGAAAAGGTCATTTATTCCTGTCTTAAAAAGCCTGAGTCATGAGACCCTTCAGATGTCTATTGGTGGGCCATATGCTTGGGTGATTGCCAACATGCAGCATGCCAATATGGTAGAGATAAAGGAAGTTTCCAAAGGAATTTCTACATGTCTAAAGAAGACTTCCAGGATCCTGCAGAGTCAGGGTAATGTTAAGCTAAGATTGCCTCTTGCCCTTAGCAAAGTACTAACCTGGAGGCAGCTGAGTCTCTAGAGGAGGATCACTCTACCTGTTTCAAGGACTTGTCAATGGGTTGTAAGTAGTAAGGAAATTAATTTTTTCTTTTGCTTTTGTTTTCCACATGACTTGTTATCTGGCATGGAATGACAGAAGACTCTGTTGCTTAACTACTCCCTGCAGGTTTTTTGTTCATTCTTCACACACCTTTTGGTGCCAAGCACTGTACTGGATCCTCAGAGAGATGCTGTCACCTGTGCTAGGAGTTCAGCAGTAGGCAGCTTGGCTTGGAGAAGAGAGCACCAGTGTGCAAATCAAGAAACCTTGGGTCTGGTTTCAGCTTTGCCACTAACTCACCAAGCCATCTTGAGTAGTTACCACCCCTACCTCCATCCCCCATCTCTTCCAGGCTTGGTTGGTTCATCCCACCTGCAGAATGGAGAAGGAGAGGAGCCTAGCCCCAGATCCATACAGCTGCTTGTAGCTCTGGAATCAAATAAAGGAACGAGAGAGCAATCCTTTAAAACCCATGCTTTCTTTTGAGAAACATAAAAATCTCACTTTACCTCCCTTCTCCTCACTCCTAAGGCAGATGCTTCCAATTCTTCTGCACAGTCCCATCAGCTGAGAAGAATCTATGGAATTTTACAATATGCGATTTATATTAAGAAAACAATAAAAAAAACAAAAACAAAAACAAACAAAAAAAAGAAAACAATAGCGAGGTTTTCCCCTTCATTTTACAAGTGTAGTTATAATAGTGTACCCTTTTATTCATACTGCATACCCATGCTACTACCCACTATCCTGGTGTTGCCTGTCACTCCCTGACAATCATTTCTTTCTTTCTTTCTTTCTTTCTTTCTTTCTTTCTTTCTTTCTTCTTTCTTTCTTTCTTTCTTTCTTTCTTTCTTTCTTTCTTTCTTTCTTTCTTTCTTTCTTTCTTTCTTTCTTTCTTTTTTAAAGATTGTATTTATTTATTCATGAGAGAGGCAGAGACACAGGCAGAGGGAGGAGAAGCAGGCTCCATGCAGGAAGCCCAATGCGGGACTCGATCCTGGGAATCGGGGATCAGGCTCTGAGCCAAAGGCAGACGCTCAACCGCTGAGCCACCCAGGCGCCCCCCTGACAATCATTTCTGTAAAGTATTTGAATACTTACTGTGGGGTCAGCCCCATTCTTACCTTTATGCTAGCTGGGAGCAGATGGACTCTTCTTCAGTTTAATTGTAAGCTCCAAAAGGGCTAGGCCTTTGATACAGTAATCCTTTAGCCCAGTGAGATAGTTTTGTTTTGTTTTGTTTTGTGGCAATGGGGGCATTACCTGATCCCTCTGAATGGGCTTCTTTCTTTTGTTTCTGAAAGAATTCTGGGTCTTCTCAGGTAAAGTATCTAGTGCAGGCCCTGGACTATTGCTGGTTTTCCATAAATGAGAACTATTTTTTGATGAGGAGCTTATAGGAATAAGTAAAATTTGCATGATAAAGAGAATAGCTATGTACCTTATCTTGTTTGCTCCTTTTTTTTTTTTTTAAAGATTTTATTTATTTATTCATGAGAGGCACACAAAGAGGCAGAAACATAGACAGAGGGAGAAGTAGGCTCCCTGCGGGGAGCCCAATGTGAAACTCAATCCCAGAACCCTGGGACCCCAGGAACACATTCAGGCAGAAGTCTGCTCAACCACTGAGCCACCCAGGTGTCCCTTGTTTGGTCCTTCTAAGTAAACATGAGGGGTGGGCATGCCTGCCTGCCACCATTCCACCTCTAAGGAAATAGGGACCAGAAGAGGTTATGTAACCAGCTCCCACAGTGTTCAGGGAGGCAGAGCCAGGATTTAAACCTGAGTGTGTATTTCTTCAAGCTCCATACTCTGTCCTCCCCCCTTTGCTATTCTCTTTCAGTCTTGGGAGATAATTAATTTCAAACCAGGGGAGAGCTACCAGGTTCTGGGGGAAGGATCTTTTTCCTTGGAAAGTCTCCATCCAGGAGCAGCATGAAATGAGACATGCCCACGCTACTATTTCAGAATAATCACCAATCATTTGTGTCCTTACCTGCTTCTTGAAAGGTTGCAAGACAGCTTGATGCTGGGGTAGGGGTTGTTATCCTTGGCTATTTATCATATATCAATTCTTTTTTTAAAAATCCTGGATAAGGGGGGATCCCTGGGTGTCTCAGCGGTTTAACGCCTTCCTTCAGCCCAGGGCGTGATCCTGGAGTCACGGGATCGAGTCCCACATCAGGCTCCCAGCATGGAGCCTGCTTCTTCCTCCTCCTGTGTCTCTGCCCCTCTCTCTCTGTCTCTCTCATGAATAAATAAATAAAATCTTAAAAAAAAAATCCTGGATTAAATGATAGTTCAATTTTTTTTAAGGTATTTCTCTAAAGACAGAAAAATGTAGTACAGGAGTCATCGGACTTGGCATAGGTTTAGAGGTTGGCAAATCTAGAGTTGAATCATCAAACATTATTCTGTAAAGGGCCAGATAAAAAAATATTTAATGGGGATCCCTGGGTGGCGCAGCGGTTTGGTGCCTCCCTTTGGCCCAGGGTGCGATCCTGGAGACCCGGGATCGAGTCCCACGTCGGGCTCCCGGTGCATGGAGCCTGCTTCTCCCTCTGCCTGTGTCTCTGCCTCTCTCTCTCTCTGTGTGTGACTATCATAAATAAATAAAAATTAAAAAAAAAAAAAACAACAACAGCCCAATTAGGAGGACAAAAATCATTAAAAAAAATATTTAATGTGTTGGAGCACCTAGCTGGCTCAGTCCGTGGAGCATGTGACACTTGATCTCAGGGTCATGAGTTCAAGCCCCATGTTGGGCATGGACCCTTCTTTTTTTTTTTTAATGAATTTATTTTTATCGGTGTTCAGTTTGTCAACATACAGAATAACACCCAGTGCTCATCCCGTCAGGTGCCCACCTCAGTGCCCACCACCCAGTCACCCCCACCTCCCGCCCACCTCCCCTTCCACCACCCCTAGTTCGTTTCCCAGAGTTAGGAGTCTTTCATGTTCTGTCTCCCTTTCTGATATTTTCCACTTATTTTTTCTCCTTTCCCCTTTATTCCCTTTCATTATTTTTTATATTCCCCAAATGAATGAGACCATATAATGTTTGTCCTTCTCCAATTGACTTATTTCACTCAGCATAATACCGGCATGGAGCCTTCTTGAAAAAAAAATTTCAGATTTTTTAGGGCAAAGGCAACAACAGACAATATGTAAATGGGCTTATGTGTAGTCAGGAAAATGTTATTAATAGCATCAGTTTCCTCATCTGTTCAATGGAGATAAAACTTACTTTGCATAGCTATTGTGATACCCACTAGAGAAAACTTGCCTTAGTGTCTTTTTTTTTTTTTTTAAGATTTATTTATTTTAGGGAGTGACTGTTGGTGGGGTATGCAGAGGGGAATTCTTTTTTTTTTTAAGATTTTATTTATTTATTCATGAGAGACAGAGAGAGAGAGAAAGAGAAAGAGGCAGAGACACAGGCAGAGGGAGAAGCAGGCTCCATGCTGGGAGCCTGACGTGGGACTTGGTCCCGGAACTCCAGGATCACGCCCTGGGCTGAAGGTGGCCCTAAACCGCTGAGCCACCCGGGCTGCCCCCCAGAGGGGAATTCTAAGCAGGCTTGCTGCTGAGTATGGAGCTCAGTGCAGTGGGAGAAGGGGTCTCTATCACAACCTTAAGATCGTGATCTGAGCTGAAATCCAGCTAGATGCTTAACTGACAGAGCCACCAGGCACCCCAACCTGCTCTAGTTTTTAATGCCACCTGGTACCCAGCAGTCACTCCACAACCATTTGTCCCCTTCCTTCAATATATTCCAGGGCCTATCTACTCTGTTCCAATAACAGTGGCCAAGAATAGGTCTGGAATTCATTCACACTGAAAAGTAAATCACTAGTAACTGGAAGTACTATGTTTTAGCTACAGCCTAAGGATTGGATTAGAGCCCTTTTTTTTTTTTCTTCTCCTTTTTTAAGTTTGCTGGTAGGGAAAGGAGGGTTCCTTTTCAGCTCCTGAAATCAGACTGCACATGTAGCTATTTCTAGGACCTAGACTTTTGGGAAGCCCTTCCTAAAGGCCTTCAACCTTGAAGAACAGCCATTCTGATAAAAATGCCCCTTTGGCACTGCCAGCCAGCAGGCTGCTGAGCAAACCAACCAGCTTCAGATGGTGATGTATATTGCTGTTGAATGAGCCTCTAGTGCCTGGTGGGCTCCTCATTTGGATGATGGTGGAGGAAGCAACACCTCTGGAGATCTGCTTCTTTGTCTGAATATTGAAAATCATCCCCAAGATGTCTCACTGCCAAGGTGTCAGAGTTCTCCAACATCGGCCCGAATCAGAGAGACACTGAAGGACTTCAGGGACACCAAGGAGACTCTCTCTTCCCCAAAACCCTCCAGACCAGTTTGTTGAGGACTAACTAATAGGCCTCAATGCAGAGCCAGTGACTTCCATACTACACTGGGGTTGCAAACACCCAAGAGAGAAGGGCCAAGTGACTGCTGTTCGCATCTAGGACAAAGTGACTGACAATGGTTTTTCCTGAGAGAATGAAGAGACAAATGATGGCTAGGCCATATATAAAAAGAGAATTCTGGGGTGCCTGGGAGGCTCAGTCGGCTCAGTTGTTTGAGCGTCCGACTCTGTTTTGGCTCAGGTCATGATATCATGGGTCGTGAGATCATGATATTGAGCCCCACGTTGGGCTCTGTGCTCAGCGTGGAGTCTGCTTGAAGATTTTCTCCCTCCACCAATAAATAAATAAATCTTTTTTATTTATTTTTATTTTTTATTTTTTAAAAAGATTTTATTTATTCATTCATGAGAGAGACACAGAGAGGGAGAGAGGGAGAGAGAGACAGAGACACAGGCAGAGGGAGAAGCCGGCTCCATGCAGGGAGCCGGACATGGGACTCCATCCCAGGTCTCCAGGATCACGCCCTGGGCTGAAGGTGGCGCTAAACTGCTGAGCCACCTGGGCTGCCCAATAAATCTTTTTTATTTATTTTATTTTATTATTATTTTTTAAAGATTTTATTTACTTATTCATGAGAGACGGAGAGAGAGAGAGGCAGAGACGCAGGCAGAGGGAGAAGCAGGCTCCATGCAGGAAGCCTGACATGGGACTCCATCCTGGGTCTCTAGGATCACGACCTGGACTGAAGGTGGTGCTAAACTGCTGAGCCACCCGGGCTGCCCAATAAAGCTTTTTTTTAAAAAAAGATTTTATTTATTAGAGAGCATAAGAGAGCACAAGCAGGGGGAGTGGCAGGCAGAGGGAGAGGGAGAAGTGGACTCCCCACTGAACAGGGTCCCAGGAGTCTGGGACCATGACCTGAGCCAAAAGCAATTGCTTAACTGACTGAGCTACCAGGTGCCCCTAAATAAATCTTTAAAAAAAGATAGAACTCATCCATAGTTGGCAGCAAACAGCACAGGAAGCCAACCCACTGTCTACATGTCAGACTTGTAGGAAGTCAGGCCACCATCCCTAGCAACCAGTCTGGGAAGCCAGAACATAGCCCCTGTAATAATCAGCCCCAAACACCAAAGACTTGATTAAAAGCTGATAGCTGGGGATCCCTGGGTGGCGCAGCGGTTTGGCGCCTGCCTTTGGCCCAGGGCGCGATCCTGGAGAGCCGGGATCGAATCCCACGTCAGGCTCCCGGTGCATGGAGCCTGCTTCTCCCTCTGCCTATGTCTCTGCCTCTCTCTCTCTCTCCCTGTGTGACTATCATAAATAAAAATTAAAAATAAAAAAAAAAATCTTTAAAAAATAAAAGCTGATAGCTTCTCTAATTCTTGTCCCCACTTCCAACTTAGAACCAACCAGAGAAAGCCAAATATGCGTACCTCTCCAATTATATAGGATGCCCTGCTTCTAATTAGCTTCCCTACAGATTCCTCATGCCAACAACCTCCAGTTGTGGTATACTGTGAATCTTTTTTTTCTCAATAATGCTTTCCCACTCCTTTGCCTGCCTTTGAGTTTCTGCTAGACATAAGTGATGGTAACTGACTCCCTTGCTATACTAAACTCTGAAGAAATAGCTTTTGCTTGTTCCAAAAAAAAAAAAAGAAGAAGAAGAAGAAGAAGAAGGTAGCAGGCCAGAGTTGCTGACCTCTGATCTAAAGAATAGTTCTGGACTCATGACAAGATCCCCCAGTCACAGATGGAAGCAAGACAAAAGCTGGGATGACTTATTTTCTTTAACAAACACATAGAGCACTTATTGTGTGCTGGACACTATTTTAAATGCTTTGCAACTACGACTGATTTAATTCTACTTAAAATACTGAGAAGTACAAGCACTGATGATCCCTATCTTACAGATGGGTAAAGCGCTCAGAGATTTCTTTTTCCAAGGCCACACAGCCAGTGAGCGGCAGGGACAGTATGCAAATGCAGGGAACATGGCAATGTCCCTGTGTTCTGTGCTGTTGAGAGAGAGGAGCTCCACTTGTGCTGTAGTGCCCAGTGACAGGTGCTGGTACTTGTTGTACCCCTAGTCCCCGGGCCCTAGCAGGCCTCAGTTAGGGACTACTGGGCCAAAAAGGAACAGAATATGAGTAGCAGAGGTGACTGTCCTGCCATGGTGATGATGACTGCTCCTCTGGTGGCTTCCTAGGACTCACTGTGTCACTTGTGTTCCCCACAGGGGACCCAAAAGTGCCGGTGCTGTACCAGGTGGAGCGGACGCGAACAGGGACGAGCTTCTCAGTGCGCTCTGTGAAGGCTGTGCAGCACGGCAAGCCCATCTTCATCTGCCAGGCCTCCTTCCACCAGACTCAGCCCAGCCCTGCGCGGCACCAGTTTTCCATGCCCAACGTGCCCCCGCCCGAACAGCTGCTTGACCATGAGGCCCTCATCGACCAGTATTTAAGGTAAGAGACCCCGAGGCTCTGGGATAACTGCAGTTGTCATCTGTGAGTAGGTCATAGAATCCTTTAGTGGGTCTTGAATGGTATTAAAAAAACAAAACAAAACACAGATACTGGAGCGTATTGTGTGCCTTAAGGGTAAGACCCCTTCTGTAAAACTTGAGTTTCCGTTGGGTGTCTCTCTGGTGTAAGTATGGGGCACAGGCAAGTGTGTCAGGTAAGGCTATAAAGGCAGAGTGTATGATTCAGCCAGTTCGGGTACTATCGCAGCTTTCCTGGTTGTTAAAATTTTGAAATACTTCTCTAATCACATGGTACATACCTCTCCAGGCCTTGAGTGATCCCTCTCTTCCTTTGGGAATCACTCATGGTCCAGCAGCCTAGGAGGTAATACCTGGCAGAGAGTGACAGTCCCTGCTACCTTTTCTTTAGTGTGTGTTAAATATTTTCAGTATACCTGGTGAAACATATTCCTTTCTTGGATCACAGCTAATAAAGTTGGAAAAATGCTGGGGCAGTGAAAAGAGTTCTGGGTCCTGACACAGGACGACACATGGGTTCTGGCTAGGTCTGTGCCTCTGTTAGTACTCACCTGCTGCTGTGTGACTTTGCCCAACTTCCCAGCCTGTCAGAGACCTGGTTCTTTGTCTAAAAATTGGGACTGGCTATGTTTGTCCTGGCTACCTCACAGCTGTATCATAAGGAGAGCTCCCCTGTCCTGTGCTGCATGCTGGGGAGGCAGCAGAGTATTGATGGGATAGATGTGGGTTTGATCATTTGGTAAAGGCCTGGGTTCAAATCTAGACTCTTTCTGCTGGCTGTGTGAGGTTGAGCAACTTGCTTTCCCACTCTGAGCCTCTGTTCACGGTTATAAAAGGGTGCTAATTGTAATTCCTACCTCATAAAGCTGCTATGAGGATTAAGTGAGGTAAAAGACAATAAATCACTTTGTGACAGCTCAGTGAATTGTAGTTACACCACTACCATTAGAGAGGAATAAGCACAGAGCCTGGTCTGCTGTCAGAGCTAAAAATGTTTGCTGAGATGAAAGGAGGACATCATTCTTAAAGGTCCCTAAATAGAGAGCTGTGCTATCCAAGGAAGCCACTAGCCACATGTGGCTATATTAAAGTAACATTCAATAGAATCAACAATTCTGTCGGTCACACTAGCCACACTTCAAGCACTCAGTAGCCACATGTGGCTTGCAGCTAGCAGAGTGGACAGTGCAGGTACAGAACATGCCATCGTCACGTAAGGTCTGCAGGACAGTGCCCTAGAGGGTGGGGGTGAAAATGGAAACCCTGGTGAAGAGCACTTGGAGTGGTTGCTACTGGGTGGAGGGGCTTCCCTGGAGATGGGCTTCTCCCCCCGGGAACACGGTCTTTCCAATTGCTGAGGATTAGGTAGGCCAGTCCGAGGCTCCAAGTTGTGCAGCCTGCTTCCTGAAAGTTGTGAATAGCGAAGTGGGTAAAAGCTTGAACCATGGAACCAGACCACTTGGGTCCACATCCTGCTTTCTCCACTTCCTGAGCAAGCTCCTTGGACTCCCCAGTGCTTAGTTCAGTTCAATTATCAGATGGGGATGATGATGGTGGCATTGTCTCACAGGGTTGTTATGACGAGGTAGTCACAACATGTGAAATGCTTAGGGCAGTGCCTCTTACGGGGTCCACCTTGCCACCCTGCAGTGTTAGATAGGTTGCTGTCATTACCTACATTCTGCAGATGGGAAGATAGGTTCAGGGAGGTTACAAACTTAAGTTCACAGGGCTCATACGCGGCATAGAAAGGATTCAGACACTATGCTCTTCTGCCTGTTGGATGGAAGGGGAGCTGTGGGGAAAAGTCAGGAGCCCCCATGGAGGAAGGAAGGAGCCACAGAAGCAGCTCAGAGAGGGTCTCCCTTTCCCCTTTACTTTCAGGGACCCCAACCTCCAAGAGAAGTACCGAGTAGGACTGAACCGAATTGCTGCCAAGGAGGTGCCCATTGAGATCAAGCCAGTAAACCCGCCTACCCTGAGCCAGCTGCAGAGCATGGAGCCTAAGCAGATGTTCTGGGTGCGAGCCCGGGGCTACATTGGTAAGAGGACCCCAAGGACTAGAATAAAACACTTCAGGGACTAGGCCTGGACCTCATATGCTCTTTGTGGCATTGAGCATGTTACTTCCCCTCTCTGGGCCTGTTTCCTTGTTGGTGTGATGGGGAAGTTGGCTTCTCTTGGCCACTTATGTGAGGATAAAGGGGAGGTGACTATATTAACCTTAATGTAGGCCCTTTCTGGGGAAGCAAGGCCCTTTGCCGAGATTCTCCAGGACCCCTGCTAACCTTATGGTAGCTCTGTGCAAGCTGGAGGACACCCCTTAGGGGGCGGAGTGTGGGAGACTTAGGGAGGGAAGACTGGAATTCAGTCCTCACCTACCCCTGCCCTCTGCCCCTCTCTACCTCCTTTGTTACCTGGCTCATATACCTGGGGCCAGGTGCCCTTATGCAGTCTACACATCTGTGCATGGCAGCCCCTCTAGGCCCGCCTCTCTGCAGGTCCTGAGCTATAAAGCCCAGGAGTGCGGGGCTGATGGGGCAGGCATATGTTGCAGGGGAGGGCGACATGAAGATGCACTGCTGCGTGGCTGCCTACATCTCGGACTACGCCTTCCTGGGCACAGCGCTGCTGCCTCACCAGTGGCAGTACAAGGTGCACTTCATGGTCTCTTTGGACCACTCCATGTGGTTCCACACTCCCTTCCGAGCTGACCACTGGATGCTCTATGAGTGTGAGAGCCCCTGGGCTGGTGAGTACGGGGCCACATGGGACAAGGGATTGAGGTGGGGGGAGGGCAGGAAGCCTGCTTTCTCCGATCCTGCCCCCCTAGGCTCTGGCATTCTTGTCTTCAAAACAGTGTGAGGCTTGAAAGGGGTCAGCTTCATTTCTCTAATATGCAGGGAGGATGAGAGACCCAGTTCTGGTCCCAGAAGCACTTCAGATTCTCTGTGTGATCCTGGGAAAGTCCCAGCTTTTCTCTTAGCTTGTTTCTCCATCTAAACAAATAGGGGCCCCTATTTGTTTTTATTTATTCTAGATACCCCTAGAGCTGTGGTATCTGAACCTGGTGGCACATCAGATTGCCAGTTGGGGGAGCTTTTTCAAAATAGATTCTCAGATTTCACCTCCAAGATTCTGACTCAGCAGGTCTTGGATGAAATCCAGGAAACTATTTTTAAGCAGGTCCCTGAGCAATAGTGCTGATTAACCACCCTGGGTGGGGGTCAGGGTCCTCCGTAGTCTCTAAGGGTTCCGCCACTTGGCTGCTTGTTAGTGCACAGAGAAGCCCAGACTAGTTCATCACCACCTAGTCTCAGAGCCCTGGGCTCCTCTCCTGGGAAGTACATTTCAAATGAAAAAAGGCCTTGCTCTGTAAAACAGGAACAGAACGAAAGGGATTCTGTCCTCAAGGGAAGGGGAACTCTCCAGCACCAATAGCGTCACCACACAGGATCAGCAAACTTGGGAGTTAGGACACAGAGTCGGGTTTGGCCAGCTCCTCATGGCTGAGTACCTGAGGCTCTGTGGAGTTCAGTGTCTTCATCTGGAAAATGGGCTGAGGCCTGCTTCACTTGGCTACTAGGAGAACTAAGCTCTACTCTGCATCAGGGGGACCAGTGGCTTCTACTCAGGCCCAAGGCTAGCAAGGGAGCCTCTAGGCGGGGAGGGAGGGAGGCCAGATGTGATGGCCCCAGGCCCTCCCCAACCCCCTTTTTCCTGGTAGGGGTGAAGATAGGGGTATTTTTGGTGAATTACCACCCTGGAGGCCCCAGTTTGATTTATTAGGGAACTGCCAGGTTTCCTACCACAAGTGGCCAGGGTGGGGTGGATCTATTTAGCCAAGCTTCTGACCCCAGACTGCCCTCAGAATTCTTCCCCCTGTGAGCTTTTTGAGGAAGCCAGTGGATATGTGAAAGTGCTTTTAAACTGTCAAGTGAGGTTCCCACAGGAGTTACCCCCAGGGACAATCCATACTAGGCTCATAAAGGGCCACTTAGAGTTGGGAGAAGCCACAATACTTGGTGTGCCCTTGTATGGGGCAGCCAGATGGGCTGGACACTTTTCAAGGAGCATGTTGGCTGTGCTGTGAAGGAGAGAGAAGGCCCTTCTCACCCTTCTCCTCACCCACAGGTGGCTCCCGGGGGCTGGTCCAAGGGCGGCTGTGGCGTCGGGATGGCGTCCTGGCTGTGTCCTGTGCCCAGGAGGGTGTGATCCGAGTGAAGCCCTGGGCCTCAAAGAGCAAGCTGTAGCCAGAGGGACCAGCTCAGCCTAGGGCTTCAAGGATTGCCCCTCTCCCCCCAACTTCCTACAGTCGAGGGCTGGGCCTTCTGTCCGCAAACCCAATAAAGAGACTAGTACCACTGGAGCTGCCGGCCTTTAATTCCCCCGGGCCAGACCGCAGCCCTACTCCAGGACTCTGGAGGCAGAATCCCTGGCCCTCTGGCCAAGGAAGAGGGAACACTGACCTACCCTGGGGCCTAGTCCCCAGGTGTTCATGAGCTGCAGCAGACTTCCTCCCTGCACCATCCCAGGGCAACCCCAGCTGAAGCTTGTCCTGAGTCCAGCTCAACAGAAAGAACAAGTTTCCTTGGTCTACTATAGATTCTCCATAGGACTTCTAGGGGTTCCCAGCACCCCACCCCCAGCTTCCCAGCTGCCATCCTCACTGCCCGCCAGCCCCCTGTCCTTGGGCAGTGCCTCTCCTCGCAGTTGCCTGAAGTCTAGGCAAGGTCAGTCCAGTACTTCCTTGATGAGCAATTCTTTGAGACTGGGGGGTGGTGTGGGGGTCAGGCCCGCCTCCTGCAGGGCCTGGAGCCGGGCCTCAGATTGGCGCTTGTCCAGGCCAAGGCGCCAGGAGAGCCGCACATGGGCCTCCAGAAAGGGTGCCAACAGAGGGTGGGGGTTCTTGTCCCCCAGCAGTTGCAAGGCTCTCTCGCAGCACGCCCGGGCCTCCCCAGGGTTCTCCAGCTCCTGGTGGCACACGGCCAGCCCAGCCAGGGTCAGCAGAGGGCGGTCAGGGCCCAAGGGGGTGCCCAGCTGGGTTTGCAGCTGCCAGGCGTTGGCCCAGAGTGCGAGAGCCTCGTGATAGAGGCCGGTGCAGGTGAGGCTTTGTGCCCGCCGCAGCTCAGGCAGCACAAAGAAGTCCTGCAGGTCTGGGGCCTGGCGCAGCTCAGGCACTGCCTGCAGGTGGCTCAGAAACTGCTCGAAGGCCCGGCTGCGGCGGGCAATGGTCTCTGCGGTAAAGTTCCGGCGCAGGCGCTTCCGGGGGAATGAGATGGCAGCCATGGGGCCCCGGAACTGTCGCTGCAGGTTTCGGTGCAACCGCTCAAAGTCCGAGTAGCGGCGAGAGATCTGGGCCGGCTGGCGACTAGGTGGCCCTGGACCCATCACGGCGAGGGTGTAGAGCTGTGGGGAGGGTGGGGTCAGGACAGGTGTGAGTTGTCTATGCGCCCCTTCCCTCCCCACACCCACACCTCAAACTGTGTTCACCCACTTCTTCCCTTTGCTCCAGAGACTGGGCCCGGGAGGGTGGGAGCTGCAGGGACAGCAGCCAGGTAGCCCAGCTTCATCTTACCTGAGGCTCGTCTGAAATGACCCACGCCCAAGGCAGCACAGGGAGAGAAAGACAGAGATGAGCTTCAGTGCCTGGAGCTGCCAGCCTTTTTTGCCCCTTCCAGGGAGCACTCCCTTCTGATCGGGTAGTTCGCTCTTCTGACAGCCCCTCTGGTAAACCAGTTGTGAGCTGAAACCCAGGCTGATCTCCTGGGCCTCTGAACCAGCCTTCAAGACCAGCTTGGGACTTTGTTCCACTCTGGACACAGAGCCCCCACATCCAGAGCCAGGTTATTCCAAACCAGACCAGAGGAGAGGTCTTCAGATAGCCCCAGTAGCTATCATTGTGAAGAGGACATCGGGGCCTGGGCTCAGGTCCTAACCCCTGGTCAGCTATTCCCTCTTGGTGTGTCATCTGCAAAGCAGTACCCCCTTGGGTCTCCTTTCCTCTCTAGTGAATGAAACATTGGCCTAGATCAGTGTCCACTCACATGAGGGATACTTAGAAAATATTAGTAGATGTTGGTCCTGAGATTTTAGGTGGTATGTGCTGGAGTAATACTGAATCAGAGACAGGAGGTGACTCCCCCCTAATTCTCTTTGGATCCTGACTACAGGCTGAGAAGCTCTCAGTTTGGTTTTTTTTTTTTTTTTTTTAAGATTTTATTTATTTATTCAGAGAGAGAGAGAGAGAGAGAGAGAGAGAGAGAGGGGCAGAGACACAGGCAGAGGGAGAAGCAGGCTCCATGCAGGGAGCCTGACGTGGGACTCGATCCGGGTCTCCAGGATCACGCCCTGGGCTGCAGGCGGCGCTAAACCGCTGCGCCACCGGGGCTGCCCTCAGTTTGGTTTTTAAAATGCACTTCTCCAACACTTCTCATCTCCACTTTCAGAAAAGAGCTAGAAAACAGGGGCAACCCAGGTGGCTCAGCAGTGTAGCGCCGCCTTCAGCCCAGGGCCTGATCCTGGAGACCTGGAATCAAGTCCCACGTTGGGCTCCCTGCATGGAGCCTGCTTCTCCTTCTGCCTGTGTCTCTGCCTCTCTCTTTCTCTCTCTCTCTGCCTCTCATGAATAAATACATAAAATCTTAAAAAAAAAAAAAAGAGCTAGGAAACAAATCTCAGGTCTGGGCCTTCAGGCAACAGCATTCATGCAGGGTTTTAATGAGTTTTCATTTTCACTGCTTTTATTGGATTTAATCAATTAATTTTTATGGTTCTTTTTCTGGCAAGCAAGGCTTTCCACACACAGTAGTGCTTTAAAGTCTTTTAAACTTATGAAAAAAAATAGATGGACTTAAAGAAAAGTGGTAAGCAAGGGATGATACAAGTAGTATTTAGCTAGGACAGGAATCATGAAGGTGGCACTGAAATGACTGATGTTTGAGAAACGCTGATCAAGATGACCATGAAGCTTCCCCGAGGTCTGAGCACTGGAGTATAGATTACTCTGTAATAATGTTGACCCACCAGGTTTAAAAAGGAAGGTTAGTGAGGCATGATATGGTGAAGGCATGCTAACATCAAACCCAGACTTCTCTCTCTCAAATTTGTTCTTTGAAACCACCAATATTCTAGCCACCTCTGGTCTATTCTTTGCTTCTCTCAAAGTACATTAATATCAAGGGTTGGGGATCCCTGGATGGCTCAGCAGTTTAATGCCTGCCTTCGGCCCAGGGTGTGATCCTGGAGTCCCGGAATCGAGTCACGCATCGGGATCCTTGCATGGAGCCTGCTACTCCCTCTGACTGTGTCTCTGCTTCTCTCCCTCTCTGTGTGTCTCATGAATAAATAAATAAAATCTTAAAAAAAATCAAGGATTAAAAAGTTTAATCTTTTAAGAAATTTATTTTACCCTCATTCAATTCTGCATTCCCAAAACATAGTGGCTTCATTTTTTTTTTTTTTTTAAGAAACAGTTATTAACATTCCAGGAAACCAGTTTCCTGCAAAATATACTTCAGGAAGCATTGTCTAAAATGACCCCTTATATTCATGTAGCTTTTACTTTTATTTTTAAGTTTTGGGCAGAAAGGAAACATTTTATATCCATTATCATCTGACCTTTGTAATGTTCTGCCAAGATAGAAAATAATAACAGTAGCTCCATTAACTGAGCACCTGCCCTGTGCCATGATGTGCTGTGCTGGGCACTTTACTATGAAGCACAGCAAGTAAGGAGTCCCTGCCTCTGTTTGACAGCAGAGGAAGTGGGCTCCACGAGGGACAAAGGGCTCAAAGATGTCCTCTAAGTCACAGCAGGGAAATAGTCCAGCTGGGATTCAAACCCAGGCCTGCTTAATTCCACAGCCTGGGCTTTCAACCCCCAGGAAAAGTTAAATCGGGAATTTAGGGTCCCATTGGACAGAGGAGGGGACTTGTCTCCCCAGACATGGGCCAGGGCATATCTGGCTCTCCTGCTCTATCTTGTCATTCTCTTCCCAGATTCACCCCATACTTCCCTGCTGCTCGGCTGCTCCTCAGGGTCCCTTTCCTGTGCATGACGCCTGGCTGGGACTCTTGCCACTTAAGACTAGATCATCAGAGTCAATCCCTGCTCAAATTGGAGCAGTCACCCCATGGGCGTGGCCCTCGTTTACTAACAGCAGCAGAAAGGAATGGAGAGGCCCAGATGTGGGACAGGGCTCCAGGCCCCTTTCCTGCTGAGTCAGAAATGGAGGAGGGTGGTGAAGATGAAGGAAGTCTGAGTCTGCCAGTGCTGGCCAGGTCAGGCTGGGTTTCAGGACTGGCAGACCTCATTCTCCCATGCCAGCTTCTCCCTTCCATGGCAAGGAAAACTAGACTCCAAGGCCCTCCCCCACACTGCTCTTCATCCCAACCCCACCTAAATCTAGCCGTCAGAACAAGATTACTGTATACACTGTGGGTGCCTGGGGACTGATTCACCTGGGCTGTAAGGAGGCCACAACAGGTCCTAGATGCCAGACATTTTCAAGCCAAAGTTAAGTCAGAATAATGGAGCTACCATTTTATCAAGCACTTCATAACGCCAGGCACAGTGCTAAGGACTCTCTCTGCACTATCTCATTTTTTTTTTTTTTTAAGGATTTTATTTATTCATTCATGAGAGACACAGAGAGAGGCAGAGACACAGGTAGAGAGAGAAGCAGGCTCCATGCTGGGAGCCCGATGTGGGACTTGATCCTGGCACTCAGGATCATGCCCTGAGCCGAAGGCAGTGCTAAACTGCTGAGCCACCCGGGCATCTCTGTCTCATTTAATTTCTGCAACAATTCTCTGCTTTATCCTCACCGCTGAAATGAGGAAAGAGGCTTCACCAAGGTTACACATCTCACCCCAGGTCAAACAGCTGGGAAAAAGTAGAGTTTGAATCAAGGTCTGGATCTAAAACCCGTTTTAGCCACTAACCAATGCAACTTGGGTCTCAGGTCTGACCCTCATAATATTCTTTTCTGTATATCTTGTATTTTGCTAGGGTTTGCAAAATCTGGGGTGGGGGTGGGGCACACACACCAGTTCTCTTAGTCTCAAAACCAGGATGGGGGCAGGTCCATAATCCCTCAGAAAGCTAAAGTCATTTGCCTAAGGACTTGACCAAGTTACATCCCCTTTCTGGCCTCAGTTTCCCCATTTCTAAAATGAGATGACCATTTATAACTATATAGCCACGCCCCACAGCCCCCCACAGCTGCAGGAAGTTGGGAGTCTTTCCTCCCTTTCTCTTAGCCAGACTTAGACTCACAGCCCAGGAGTTCCTGGGCCCTCACTCACCACGTACTTGGAGGGTGGGTCCTTGACCACGTTGGCGCTGGTCACCTCGAAGAGCAGCCGCTGGGGCACCAAGGTGTTCCGGGACTTCTTCCAGAAATCCTGCAACTGCCTTGCCAGGGGCTGACTGCCCCGCTGCCCATCAGGTGGGGGGCTCCGTTCTGCATGAGCACACGACCAGTCACATCAGTGGGCCTGGGGCTAAGTTAAACATAAACTGTGTATGATGCCCACCCTCATCCTCCCAACAGTTTCCATTTGACATAAATGGAAACTGAGGGCCAGAGAGGGGCCAGGTGCCAAAACCATGCCTGGCAGATAGTGGGCTCTAAATACCCCCATCCGCCAAAACATGGCAAGCACATTATTACGATTTGTATCCCAGACCCTGTACGTTTAGTGCCCGCAGCAACCTCGAGGTGGGAGTGATTTACCCCATTTGACACGAGGGAAAACTTGGCTCAGAGAGGTGTTGTGACTCTCTCAAGGTCACACAGCCAAGAGGTGGCTGGGGACCAGGGCTAGGGTGGAGGCCTAATGGAGCCCCAGGGTTCCCGCCTCTGTCTTCGGGAACTCGCCTGCATCTTCTCCCGATGCCCCGTCCCCGGAGGGCAGGGGGTCGGGGCCAACCTCCCCGTCGTCCTCGTCGTCCTCGTCCTCTTCGTCCTCGGCGCTGGTGAAGCTGAGGGTGCCGCTGAGGCGGGAGGACAGGCCCTCGGCGTCGTCGTCCTCCAGCTCCGAGCTCTCTGGGAACTGCTCGGCCTCCGGGCCGGCCGCCGCCTCCCCCGGGTTGTCGCCGGCCAGGGCGTGCCGCAGCCGGTGCAGGAGCCGCGAGGCCATGGCACCCTGGGGGGAGCGCGCCACGCTGGGTCCTGGGCGGGGGCCGGAGGGAGACCCGGGGCCCCGCGCGCGGAGGAGGGGCGGGGCCCAGGCGGCGGGGGGAGGGGCGCCGCGGAGGCCCCGCCCCAGCCCGTTGGGGGTCCCGCGGGCCGCGGGCGTCGCCGCCCCCCCACTCCCCGCGCAGACTTAGGGCCGCGCTCTTCCCGGGAGAGGCCGGGAGGCTCCCCTCGTCTCTTTCGCCCGCTCGCGCGTCTCTCCCTCCTGCGCTCAGGGGCGCACGGTACCCCGGGGGCCGGGCTGCAGCCCCGGCAGCTTACCGAGGCCGGCGGGCTTCGCCGGGCCCAGGCCGCTCCCAGCGCCGCTCCGGCCGCTTCCTGCCGCCGCCCCGCCCCGCCCCCGGCCCCGCCCGCTCCCCGGAGCCTCCCGGGAATCCCGGGCCCTCCGCTCCGGGAGGGACTTGGGAATCCTGGGTAGGCCTGGGCGAACCCCAGCCCTCCTGCGGGATCGTACCCAATCCGCAGGGGCTCCCAGCCTCTGAATCCTCCCACCCATCCCGAAGACCCGGCCTGCCCCGGCGGGCCCCAGTCTATCCCACAGTCTCCATCCATCCAGCACTCCCAACTTTCCAAAGTCAGGCGACAGCGGGAGGCCCATCACTCCGGTGAAAAAAATTGAGGCCGAGGGAAGACGTGCTATCCGAGTTGGAGTCTGACTTCGAACCTAGGTTTTCTCCTGTGTGAAACAGGAACATTTCAAACTAGTACTAATTTTGTAATTAGTTCTTGGAAGGACCCTGATCCAGTGCCTGGCGCAGACCTGGGGCTGACATATCCATCAGTCACGTAGCGATTATTGTTTCTACAGTGTTCACAGGTTCTGCAAATCTCATCTGAGCCTCACACATAGGAAGTAATAAACGGGGAAGTGAGATCCAGAAAGGCAGAGTTATTTGCCCAGAGTCACACAGCTCGCCAGAGGTTTCTGAGTGTGGGGACTTGCAGCTATGAGTTCCTCATTCTGTTCTTTTCCGATACAGAAGGCCTGGTAATCTCAGCAACTTCCCTGAAGGGCTGTGTTTTACCTTTTATCGGGAGGGCAGGAGTAGGTCAGAAAGAATTAATTGTCACTTCCTGTCAAAAGGCCTCGTGATCAGTCCCTAGCAGGGCAGATATTGTTTGTTATACAACTGAACAAATAAAATCTCTCTGACAATCCTTCCTACTACCCTTTTTGAATGGCACAGGAGAGACAGGTGGGGGAAAGTAGCTTTGAATGGAAAACACAACACACTCCCTGCTCCACTATGTGCAGAAGAGGCAGGGCTCTCAGTTTTTGAGGTTTGACTGCGTCCTACACCCTCTTCTAGGCACTTTACATAGGGTGACATCTCACACATCTTGGGGAGGGAGCTACTATTGGATAACCATGGTCCTTTTTCAGGATGAAGAGGCAAATTGACTTTCCCAAAATCCGGAGCAAGGAAATAGGGGAGCTGGGATTTATGGCCAAGTCCCATGTAATTTCAAGGCTCTAGCTAATTTTCAATTGACAATTTCATTGTCCCACTTAGCGCAGGACATTGGGGCAAAAAAGACACACTTCATTCCTTAGTTTATTCAACACTCACTCATTTACTGAACAGCAAACAAGAATATTAACTTGTATTTTGGCATATGTCTCACAAGTCTGGGTATAAAAGACAAAACCATGGGTTGTCAGAAATCTGGTCTGGTACTTCTGTTTTACACATGGGAAGTTTGCAGCTCAGTGAGAGGAAGGGACCTGCCTTGGGTCATACAAACAGGACGAGAACTAGTTCTCCTGATGTCTTATATTCTCTCCATTATCCTGGGTTCTGTATAATATCTCCCTAAAACTGCCCCTAGCGATGATCATTAAGTTCCTGGTTGCACACATTCAGTAACAGGAAACTCATTATCTCCCAGTGCTTCCCATTCCTGTTATTATCCAACCATGATGGTTAGGAAGTTCCTCCTCATAACCAGATGCCACTCAGTTCAGTTATTCATATAAAAGAACATGATCTTTATTGAGTGCTTGCTAAGTGCCAAGTGCTGGGTACCGGGGAATGCAGTGATGAACAACTAACAATCTTTGGTCCATGGAACTCAGAACAGGTCATGTCATGTGGCATGCTCAGGGCTATGATTGAAGACTGCCTTGGACTCCTTTGGCCTGTGTAGGGGAGGAGGGATCCCGAAAGAAGTGATGTTATTTTTGATTTGTATTTTTCTTTTTCAAGTAAGCTCTACACCCAACGTGGGGCTCGAACTTATGACCTGGAGATCAAGGGTCCCATGCTCCACTGACTGAGCCAGCCAGGTGCCCTTTTAAATATATATATTTTATATCTATCTCTATATATAAACTCATGACAAGAGTTTATATAAGTATATATATAAGAGTTTAAATATAAGATCAAGAGTTGCATGCTCTACCGACTGAGCTAGCCAGGCACCACGAGGAAGTGATGTTCAAGTTGAGAAAGATGACAGGGATGTAGGGAGGTGAAGAGAAAATGGGGGTTACTGGCAGAAAACAAACAGTATGTACAAAGACCTGGAGGCTCTAAAGGGTGGCGTTTGGAGCTCTATTTTAGTTTGACCAGACCAGAGCAGCATGCAAGATGGGGAGGAAAGGGGATTGAGATTGGGAGGTTAAAGGGAATAGATAAATCTGGACCTTATCTAGTTCTCTGAATAAATGCAAGAACAAATTAATGAACAAATGGTTGTGGAGGGTTCCAAACTCTGCTTCAAAGAAATCATTGTGGTTCCAGGGCTCACATCCAAACTGGACTCCCCTGATGTCGCTGCCCCTTGGCCCTCTGCCTGGCAGGGGGAGGCCTTATGTAGCCCGGCCTGGCTCCACTGAGCTTTTCTTGGGAATGTCTATAAATAGAGGAAGATGGCAGCCCAGCTGCCACTGTCTATCTGCCTTTCCTTGGAATCCAGCCTCCTTTCGCTGGCCCTGGGCTCTGCGCTCAGTTGCCTTAGTGCTCTTTCTGTTGACTTAGCTGCTGTCCACAGCCTCGGCTACCTGTTGGAGCCTAGACCCTGGGTGTTGGGCTCACTGTGGACTAGACTTGCTCTGCCCATCCCTTCACTCTCCAGATGGCCGGCCAAGCTGCTCCAGACTTCTTCACCGAGCTCTAGGAAAGGGCCTGCTGCCCCTTTACCCACCTAGAGAACCTGCCCCCAGTCCCCTTCTCCCTCAAAAAAAGTGAATCGCAAACACCGTTTCCCTGGAGCAGGTTAACTCGAAAGATCTGCTTTCAATGTTTATTTATTAATTAAAAGATTGTATTTATTTATTCAGAGAGATACAGAGAGAGAGAGGCAGAGACATAGGCAGAGAGAGAAGTAGGCTCCCTGTGGGGAGCCCAATGTGGGACTCCATCTTTAGACTGGGATCATGCCCTGAGCCAAAGGCAGACACTCAGCTGCTGGGCCACCCAGGCATCCCTCAATGTTTATTTCTCTTCCAAATGCATACCCATCTCCTGGATCTGTAGATTTCTCCTTTGGACAGGTCCCCTTCTGGCTGTCCCAACTTCCCTTCAGGAATAATAAGAATCATTGACATGACTATAGACCTTTGTGATTTAACAAAGCTCCCCAGTAAAAAGGGAATAATAATAGCTTCTCCCCTATGAGATGAGGACTAGGTGAGATCACATGGTTAAAATGCTTAGCATGGAGTGTGAACCTAGAGGTTGCCCTCTAGCATGGTTCAGACAGGACATTCCACTTGCCAAGCACCAACCGTATGGAGCAGGCACAAGCTCGGCGACTTACACCTGGGCCTCATTTCCCATTGGTCTCTCTGTGAGGGGGGGTCACGTCTGTCCCCATCTCCACGTCACAGAGAAGGACACTGAAGCTCAGAAACTGAAGCTCAGAGTGGCATGTCACCTGCCTAAGAGTACACAGCTTGCAAAGAAAGTATGGGTCTTGGGTTTAAGACTTCAAGGCTCGTGCTCTTTCCTGTCTGCCATGCTGCTTCACTTTTCTGGATTCTGATTATCCTCACCCATCTTGGAGCAAGCGTGTTTCTTGAGCAGGGGCTCCCTAAAGCAGTGGAGCAGGGCGGGTTCTTCTCCCAAGAATCTAGGACGTCAAGGCCTGCCACCTGCTCACAGGCTTAAATTTCTCTGCAAGGGCCCTTGGCTAAATTAGGTAATGGGCCAGGACTCTGGAATGGGGGTGGGGGAGGAAAGGAGGAGGTGCTCGCTGACCCCAGGATCTGATTGGCCAGGGCAATTAGTCCTAGGGAGCAGAGAGGTGGGAGGAGAGGGTGCCCCTACAAATCCAAGGTGCTGGAGCAGGCCAGGGTATCTTTGGGTGGTGGAGTGCTGAGGAGGTGACTGACCTGAAGCAGGGGAGGCCCAGTGACTTGCAACCATGGTAAGGACAAGAAGGAACTTCATCCCTTTGCTTGCTGGAGCACTTCTGGACCTCTTCCAGGCCAGATCCAGGTGCTCTGTAGTTCAGTAATTGGACTTTTAAAGATGGAACATGTAGGCTCCTGGAGCCTAGATGTCTAGGAGGAAGCCTGGGAAGAAGGCCTTGGACTTCTCTAGGAAGGGGAGGGCTGGGTGCTCTGGGATTGCCAACTCCCTGCAGACCTAAGGCTTTGGCAGTGTTGGCCACGGAGCTGTGAGGGGGGTGTTAGCTTGTCTCCCTCACGGTGGAGGTGGGGACCCTGAGGGCCAGAGTGAGTCACTTAGCAAGCCAGTGGCAGGGGTGAGCTAGCTGGAGGTCTTGCCAAATCATCCTACTGCTGGTGAGAGGAGTCCTCTAGAAGAAGGGAGGCCTGCAGAGCTTCAAGCCAGCTAAGGTACAGGATCCCAAGAGCTATGAGGGAGAGAAGGGGCAGAAGATGATAGATCAAGGTTAGAGACCCCAGCCTCCCAGAGGGAGGTCATTTCCCCTGAGGTCCCTCTCCCCACTTCAAGGGGTAACTAGACCCCACAGGACAGCTGCTGTTGCCCATGCCAGGCTAAAAATAGCCTGCCCTCCTGCATGGGCAAGGAGGAGGGAGGAGGGGTGGGTAAGGAGGAGGGCAGTGGCTAGCTGGCCGCCAAAGAAGGCCTTGGCCACCTCACCCTCTCCTCCCCGCCAGCCTCAGTCCAAAGTCCCATAGCCAGATGGCTTGGCTTAGATGTGGCCAGATCTCCTCCCCCGAAATCTTATTTCCATCTCCACAAGGCCCCCATTATATTCTGTCCAGCATGATTATGATTTACTCCAATGGCTACGTGATAAGAAGGGAGCTTAAAATCTCCATCTCCACAAGTTGTTGGAGGGAAGGGATGGGTGTCTGGGTCTTCTTGGCCTCAGTGTCCAGTCTCTGGCCTGACGCTTAGTTGGGGCTCAATGACTCTGCCTTGCATTATTGAGAACATTTACTGAGCCCCTATTATAGTACCAGGCTCTACTGGGAGCTAGGGGACACTGGAAAATGATGCTGGAATAGTGCTGGTACTTTACAAAACCCTTTGACATCCCTGATCTTTTCATTCTTGAAAAACAGCTGAGAAGAGCTAGAGTAGAATAAGTGACTGACTTGCCCAAGGTTAGAAAGGGGGATTCCTGACTTGACATCTGATTAGCAGGTTTGGAGACCCTGGGCATAATCTGTGTTTCCTCCCTGTTCTTCAAAACTGGGGTTCAGGTGCTGCGGGAGCATGCAGAAGGTGTTGTTAGTTTGGAACTGTTCTTCTGGAAGACCAAAGGGCACTGACAGAAAGGGGTTGAAGAGAAGGGGGTTAAGGCAAGAATGAGCTCTGGGGCCACCCCTTCTGCTCGCTGACTCTGTGTCTCCTGCAGACGGACCAGCAGGCGGAGGCCCGGTCCTACCTCAGCGAGGAGATGATCGCTGGTGAGTGCGGGTGGGCGGCCGGGTGGCTGTGTGCTGGGCAGTGCTGGGGCTGGGCAGGGTGGGAGGGAAGGTGTGAGGCTGACAGTCCAGCCAGGCCCACCTCGGTCCTCTGCCTCGCTCAGAGTTCAAGGCTGCCTTCGACATGTTCGACGCTGATGGTGGCGGGGACATTAGCGTCAAGGAGTTGGGCACGGTGATGAGGATGCTGGGCCAGACCCCCACCAAAGAGGAGCTGGACGCCATCATCGAGGAGGTGGACGAGGACGGTGAGCAGGTGGCCCTCCAGGGGCTGCGACTGCGGCGGGCGGGGTGGGCCTGCAGGGCTCAGGCTCACTCGCCACCTGCTCGCCTCAGGCAGCGGCACCATCGACTTCGAGGAGTTCCTGGTCATGATGGTGCGCCAGATGAAAGAGGATGCGAAGGGCAAGAGCGAGGAGGAGCTGGCCGAGTGTTTCCGCATCTTCGACAGGTGCACTGAGGGCTGGGGGGCCGAGAAGGCGCTGGGCTGGGCGAGTGCGTTGGACCAGGCGGCGCGGGCGGGGGGTGTGGGGGGCGGCTCGCCCCCGCCTGTCCTGAACCCCACCCTGTCCCATCGCCCCAAGGAACGCAGATGGCTACATCGATGCGGAGGAGCTGGCTGAAATTTTCAGGGCCTCCGGGGAGCACGTGACAGACGAGGAGATTGAGTCCCTGATGAAAGACGGCGACAAGAACAACGACGGCCGCATCGACTTCGACGGTGAGGGCCGCGGGCGCGGGGCGCGGGGCGGGGCTCCCACGCGGCCGTCCGTGGCTTTGTCCGCAGGGCGGGAGCCCCGGCGGGTGCGTGCGACTTATGCTTCGGCTCTCCATCCCCGCAGAGTTCCTGAAGATGATGGAAGGCGTGCAGTAAGAAGTCGCCCCCGCCTCCGCCCAGACCGCGCGTCCCTCGGGCGAGGGCGGGCTCAGCACCCCCGCCCCGCCCCGTCACAGCCTCAGCCCCAGGGGGGAGGCGCGGCCCCTGCGGGCTCCGTGTGCAGGGGAATAAAAGCAGACACTGCGAAGCGGGTAGCCTGAGTGAAGGTGTCAGGGCGCGCCTGGCTGGGCCGCCGTCCGGGGCACCACCCGAGCGCCTCGGGGCTCCAAGGAGCGGGCACCCGAGTTGCGGGCCGCACCGAGGCGCGGGACCCCGGGCAGGTTCCCGGGCGCTGGCGCTGGGCGTGCACAGCTCGGCCGGCGGGGTTGCAGCGGCGCCTGGCGCTGGAGGAGGGAGGCCGGCGGTGGGGGTGCGGGTTGGCGCTTGGAGCTGTCGGGGTGAGGGTGCCGGGGATGGCGGGTAGGGTGAGGGCGCGGCAGGCGGCTGGAACCCGCGGGAGGCCGAGGTGAGGCCCCTTTCCTTCCCCGCCGTCGTTCCTTTCTGGAGCCTTTGGGTCTGGGGTGCAAGCTACCGGGCTGGCGATGGAGAAGCGGGTATCTTATCCGTCCGT